TGTGTAGCAAGGCTATTCTAAGATGTTGTAGGAGGCAAGGCTATGTTAAGACGTGCTAACTACGTTGAGACGTTGTGTGAGGCAAGGCTATGTTAAAACGCGCTGTGCAGCAAGGCTATGTTAAGATGTTGTGTGAGGCAAGGCTATGTTAAGATGTGCTGTGCGGCAAGGCTACATGGAGACGTTGTGTGAGGCAAGGCTATGTTAAGACGTGCTGCGCAGCAAGGCTATGTTAAGATGTTGGGTGAGGCAAGGCTATGTTCAGACGTGCTGTGCAGCAAGGCTATGCCGAGATGCTGTGTGCAAGGCTATGTTCAGACGTGCTGTGCAGCAAGGCTACGTTGAGACGATGTGTGAGGCAAGGCTATGTTGAGATGTTCTGTGCAGCAAAGGCTATGTTAAGCTGCTGTGTGAGGCAAGGTTATATTAGGACGTGCTGTGCGCCAAGGCTATGTTAAGATGTTGTGTGCAGCAAGGCTATATTCAGGCGTGCTTTGCAGCAAGGCGCTGTTGAGATGTTGTACGAAGAAAGACTATGTTAAGACGTGATGTGCAGCAAGGCTATGTTGAGATGCTGTGTGCAGCAAGGCCATAATAAGACGTGCTTTGCAGCAAGGCTATGTTGAGATGTTGTGTCAGGCAAGGAAGGCTATGTTAAGACGCGCTGTGTAGCAAGGCTGTGTTGAGACGCTGTCTGAGGCAAGGCGATATTAAGACGTGCTCTGCAGCAAGGCTATGTTAAGATGCTGTGTGCAGCAAGGTTATGTTAAGCCGTGCTTTGCAGCAAGGCTATGTTGAGATGTTGTGTGAAGCAAGGGTATATTTAGGCGTGCTGTGCAGCAAGGATATGTTGAGATGTTGTGTGAAGCACGGCTATGTTAAGATGCGCTGTGCAGGAAGGCTATGTTGAGATGTTGTGAAGCAAAGATATGTTTAGACGTGCTGCGCAGCCAGGCTCTGTTAAGATACTGTGTGCAGCAAGGCTGTTAGGACGTGGTGTGCGCCAAGGCTATGTTAAGATGTTGTAGAGCAAGGCCATATTAAGACGTTTTGTGCAGCAAGGCTGTGTTGGCATGAGGTGTGAAGCAAAGCAATGATAAGACGTCCTGTTCAGCGACGCTATGTTGAGATGTTGTGTGAAGCAGAGCTCTGTTCAGACGCTCTTTGCAGCAAGGCCATTTTGAGACACTGCCTGAGGCAAGTCTACCTGAAGACGTGCTTTGCAGCAAGGCTATGTTGAGATGTTGTGTGAAGACACGCTATGTTAAGACTTGCTGTGCAGCAAGGCTATGTTGAGATGTTGTGGGAAGAAAGGCTATGTTAAGAGTTGCTGTGCAGCAAGGCTATGTTGAGATGTTGTGTGCAGCAGGGCTCTGTTCAATCGTTCTTTGCAGCAAGGCTATGTTGAGATGCTGAGGCTATGTTAAGACGTGCTGTGCAGCAAGGCAATGTTAAGATGTTGTGTGAAGCAAGGCTATGTTAAGATGCTGTGCGGCACGGGTATGTGAAGTTGTTGTGTCAAGCAAGGCTATGTTAAGACGTGCTGTGCAGCAAGGCTATGTTGAGATGTTAGATGAAGCAAGGCTATGTTAAGACGTGCTGTGCAGCAAGGCTATGTTGAGATGCTGTGTGAAGAAAGGTGATGTTAAGACGTGCTTTGCAGCAAGGGTATGTTAGAAAAATGTTGTGTGAAGCAAGGCTATGTTTAGACGTGCTGTGCCGCAAGGCTGTGTTAAGATGTTGTGTGAGGCAAGGCTATATTTAGTCGTGCTGTGCAGCAAGGCTATGTTGAGGCGATGTGTGAGGCAAGGCAATATTAAGACAGGTGATATTAAGACGTGGTTTGCAGCAAGGCTATGTGGAGTCGTTGTGTCAAGCAAGGCTATGTTCAGACGTGCTGCGCAGCACGGCTATGTTAAGATGTTGTGTGCAGCAAGGCTATGTTAAGACGTGCTGTGCAGCAAGGCTATGTGTATTTTATGTTGAGATGTTGTGTCTTGCAAGGCTATGCTAAGACGTGCTGTGCATGCAGCCAGGCTATGCTAAGATGTTGTGTGCAGCAAGGCTATGTTAAGACGTGCTGTGCACCAAGGCTATGTTTTGATGTTGTGTGCAGCAAGGATCTATTAAGACGCGCTGTGCAGCAAGGTCTGTTGAGATGTTGTGTGAAGCCAGGCGGTGTTAAGACGTGCTGTGCAGCGAGGCTATGTTGAGATGTTGTGTTAAGCAAGGCTCTGTTCAAACGTTCTTTGCAGCAAGGCCACTATGCGATGCTGTGAGAAGGAAGTCTATGTTAAGACAGGCTTTGCAGCAAGGCTATGTTGTGATTGAGTGAAGAAAGCCAACGTTAAGACGTGCTGAGCAGCAAGGCTATGTTGAGATGTTGTGTGAGGCAAGGCTATGTTAAGATGCTGTCTGAGGCAAGGCAATATGAAGACGTGCTTTGCAGCAAGGCTATGTTGAGATGTTGTGTGAAGAAAGGCCATATTAAGATGTGCTGTGCAGCAAGGCTATGTTAAGATGTTGTGTGAAGCAAGGCTATGTTAAGACGTGCTGTGCAGCGCGGCTATGTGGAGTTGTTGTGTCAAGCAAGGCTATAACAAGACGTGCTTTGCAGCAAGGCTATGTTGAGATGTTGTGTCAGGCAAGGCTATGTTAAGATGCTGTCTGAGGCAAGGCAATATGAAGACGTGCTTTGCAGCAAGGCTATGTTGAGATGTTGTGTGAAGAAAAGCCATATTAAGACGTGCTGTGTAGCAAGGCTATGTTAAGATGCTGTAGGAGGCAAGGCAATGTTAAGACGTGCTAACTAAGTTGAGACGTTGTGTGAGGCAAGGCTATGTTAAAACGCGCTGTGCAGCAAGGTTATGTTAAGATGTTGTGTGAGGCAAGGCTATGTTAAGATGTGCTGTGCAGCAAGGCTACGTTGAGATGTTGTGTGAGGCAAGGCTAGGTTAAGACGTGCTGCGCAGCAAGGCTATGTTAAGATGTTGGGTGAGGCAAGGCTATATTTGGATGTGCTGTGCAGCAAGCCTACGTTGAGACGATGTGTGAGGCAAGGCTATGTTCAGACGCGCTGTGCAGCAAGGCTGTCGAGATGCTGTGTGCAAGGCTATGTTCAGACGTGCTGTGCAGCAAGGCTACGTTGAGACGATGTGTGAGGCAAGGCTATGTTGAGATGTTCTGTGCAGCAAGGCTATGTTAAGCTGCTGTGTGAGGCAAGGCTATATTAGGACGTGCTGTGCAGCAAGGCTACGTTGAGACGTTGTGTGAGGCAAGGCTATGTTGAGATGTTCTGTGCAGAAAGGCTACGTTAAGATGTTGTGTGAGGCAAGGCTACATAAGGATGTGCTGTGCAGCAACGCTATGTTGAGACGTTGTGTGAGGCAAGGCTATGTTAAGACGTGCTGTGAAGCAAGGCAATGTTGAGATGTTGTGTGCGGCGAGGTTATAAAACGACGTGCTTTGCAGCAAGGCTATGGTGAGATGTTGTGTCAAGCAAGGCTATGTTAAGACGTGCTGTGTAGCAATGCTATGTTGAGATGTTGTCTGAGGCAAGGCAATACTAAGACGTGCTCTGCAGCAAGGCTATGTTGAGATGTTGTGTGAAGACACGCTATGTTAAGACTTGCTGTGCAGCAAGGCTATGTTGAGATGTTGTGGGAAGAAAGGCTATGTTAAGAGTTGCTGTGCAGCAAGGCTATGTTGAGATGTTGTGTGAAGCAAGGTTATGTTAAGCCGTGCTGTGCAGCAAGGCTATGTTGAGATGTTGTGTGAAGCAAGGTTATGTTAAGACGTGCGTTGCAGCAAAGCTATGTTGGGATGTGTTGTCAAGCAAGGCTATGTTCAGACGTGCTGTGCAGCAAGGCTATGTCGAGATGTCGTGCGCAAGGCTATGTTAAGACGTGCTTTGCAGCAAGGCTATGTTGAGATGTTGTGTGAAGAAAGGCCATATTAAGATGTGCTGTGTAGCAAGGCTATGTGAAAATGTTGTGTGGGGCAAGGCTATGTTAAGACGTGCTGTGCAGCAAGGCTACGTTGAGACGTTGTGTGAGGCAAGCCTATGTTAAAACGTGCTGTGCAGCAAGGATATGCTAAGATATTATTTGTGGGGAGGCTATATGAAGACGTGCTGTGCAGCAAGGCTACGTTGAGATGTTGTGTGAGGCAAGGCTATGTTAAGACGTGCTGTGCAGCAAGGCTATGTTAAGATGTTGTGTGAGGCAAGGCTATATGAGGACGTGCTGTGCAGCAAGGCTACGTTGAGACGATGTGTGAGGCAAGGCTATGTTGAGACGTGCTGTGCAGCAAGGCTACGTTGAGACGTTGTGTGAGGCAAGGCTTAAAAGGACGTGCTGTGCAGCAAGGCTATGTTAAGATGTTGTGTGAGGCAAGGCTATGTTGAGATGTTCTGTGCAGAAAGGCTATGTTAAGATGTTGTGTGAGGCAAGGTTATATTAGGACGTGCTGTGCAGCAAGGCTACCTTGAGACGATGTGTGAGGCAAGGCTATGTTGAGACGATGTGTGAGGCAAGGCTATGTTAAGATGTTGTGTGAGGCAAGGCTTATTAGGACGTGCTGTGCAGCAAGGCCACGTTGAGACGTTGCGTGAGGCAAGGCTATGTTGAGATGTTCTGTGTAGCAAGGCTATGTTAAGCTGCTGTGGGAGGCAAGGCTATATTAGGACGTGCTGTGCAGCAAGGCTACGTTGAGACGTTGTGTGAGGCAAGGCCATGTTGAGATGTTCTGTGCAGAAAGGCTATGTTAAGATGTTGTGTGAGGCAAGGCTATATTAGGACGTGCTGTGCAGCAAGGCTACGTTGAGACGTTGTGTGAGGCAAGGCTATGTTTCGATAATCTGTGCAGCAGGGCTTTGTTGCCATGTGCTGTGCAGCAGATGTTGTGCAGCAGAGCTAGCCTTCTTGAGCAAGAAGTCTTCGCAATGCTTTCCGGGGAAACTGCCTGCGGGCCACAAAAAGCTATTCGACCAGTCGGCAGTCCTCAGAGCAAGCGCAAAAACGCCGCAGCCCTCCGAGGAGGTGCATATCGCACCATAACCGCACAAACCGCTGGAAGAGTCTGAGCCAAAGCTGCGGCGTCGTGTCTTTCACTGACGTTGCCTTGTTGCCTCTGGAATCTCGCTCTCACAACTTTCTGATTGCTTTTGCATGCTTTGCTTCTGACTCCCACTGGTGACGATTGGCCCGACTTTTGCCCTAGCAGCATCGCGCCAATTGCGTTCTTCGCACCGGCTTGGTTGACAAGTGAAGGCTCCAGCAGGACTTGCATGGCTCGTTCATTTCTCGAGCTCGTTCTCCAAGGCCTCCTGATGCCTCTGGCAAACATCTACCAGCCTGAGTCTGAGCCATGCAACGATGCAAGCTCCAGCTAGGTACCGGTTTTTGTGGTTTTCGAGGGGCAGCAAAGAAAGGAAAACAACAATTTTTGGAGATCCCACTTTAATAACACACCCAGGCGGAGGCTGGCGGATCGTCTGGTTGTCTGTGGCCCGCACAAGTTGACACAGGAAATGAACTCATGCACGTTGATGGGGGCCTGGCAAGTGCATGTGATCAAGCAGTCACAAGTCAAGGTGGAGGAGTAGGAGTACACCAGAAAGCCGCCGCAGCCCAAGTGGAGCGTTAAACGCAAATGACCAAAAGCCATATTCAAGTTGTAATCCTGCCTTTGATAGCCTCAAATCACCCCGCGAAGCCAGAACAACAGTTCCAGACTTGACTCATGTACACTGCAACCTGCTTGCAGTCTCTGAGCTGCTTGTAACAGTAGCAGGACCAGCATGGAACCAATTCTGGGATTCGCCATTGGCTTTCCGGCCACCCAAGAACCACGCGTAGCCTCATCGTCCTTGCCAACAATCAGCAGCCATTCGCCCACCTCGGGGGCGCCAGGTGACCCGAGGTGGGGGGGGGGGAATTATGGGTTTTCCTCTTGGTTTTCACTTTAACTCCCACCTAAAAAGGGGAAGCCTCAAAAACACCCACACACACACACCCTATGAGTTCCCGACCCCGATTCCTCTCTGGCATAGAGAGGTGACTTGGCGCGGTGCATCTGATCTCAGCCTTGGGGCTTCTTTTTTGGGCCCACGGCGTAGCGGTCAAAGTGGTCGCAGTGCACATCTGGAAAGTCCAAGGACCTGGCGTCGCAACGATCCATTTCTCAAATCCCGCATGTGGACACGTACCCATGGCCCAGCAAGCAACAGGATTGCGACAAAAGATCTGTGCCAGGATGCGGATCCGGCCTCAAGAGTTCCCTGAGCCCCTCAGCGCTCACCGTGCCCTTGGGGGCAAACCTCAGCGTGGGACATGTACCGAAATAGCTTGGCATGACTTTCTCACGTGGGCTTTTTTGGGGGGGAGCATGGTTCCACAATCCTGGCTCAAAGTCTTCACATGATTGCAAACATTGTCCTACATGTTCCAGGAGAACTTGCCGCCAAATCCGCTCAGATGTCATCAACCAATCCGGTCCAAGCCGCTTCTTGAAGGCTGCCCGCATGTACTCCTCACTGGCCTGGAGGTCGAACCTCAAGCCGGTACTGGCTGTAAACGTCGTAAGCTGAGGATTGAGGATCTATCTGGGAAAACCGTTGGTGGCGGGGAGGGGCTTGGAGGGTCAGATTTTCCTTGGACTCCCCTTACACAACCTCAAAAAAAGGATGCACGCACACACACACACACATACGCACACACACACACACAGGCACCCACCTACCCACGCACACCCAACACACAACACACACACACACAACACGCACATGTACACACACACACATGTATATGTGTATGTGTATATACATAGAAATTATTTTCACTAGAGAACTCAACCAGCAATGTCAGGAACCAAACCGCCTGTTCGCAAAAGCTAATGGAGGCCTCACTATGGTCTGCAAGCTGCGTAGGACCCTTGCCTAAACTAGGCAACGCTCATTCGGGGGTTGTCAACAAATGGGGTCAAATGGCAGCAAAGACCGGCGGCACCACGATCGCATACTTGGATGCGTAACCAACTTAATAGCTGGGGTAATTGGGGTGAGTCCTCTATTCTTGATGATAACCATCTGAATTGGTTTGACCACCCCTCAAATACTTGTGGACAAACCCCACTTCGCAGCAATTCGGACAAATCTCACAAAAAACTCTCTAGGCCCCCAGATCTGCCAAAAAGTCGAAACAACTTTTCCTAGTGGAAACTACCTCACACAAACAAAAAAACACCTGTTAAAAAAGGGTCCGACCAACAACCAGCTCAGTGGAACCGGGCTGGTTGAACCACGTCTAACGACCACCCCTTCGGTGTTTTCCCTCCCTTGTCCTCGTCGTTTCGTTTCGTTTCCTTGGGCTTTCGGGCAGTCCCAGCGCCTTGCCCGCGGTGCAGCTCCGAACCGCGGGGGTTTGCGCCTGGGACAAAAAGAAACCGACCAAACGACCCGGGGCCCCCTGGTCTTCGTTTTGCTGTCCCCGGCTTTTGAGACATGCACTGACGACAAGGGGTCGGTTTTTCCGAGTTTGGTCTCCAAGGGGCAGTTTGGGGATTCTTGTGGCAGGTGCTGTTTTGGGAACAGCAATGCTGCATGGTGGTGACGGTGCGCGCTCGCGCGCTCGCGCGCGCACGCGCATATTTCTGCGATATTGATTGTTTGGGGCGCTCTTCGGGGGCTCTGTTGGAGTTGCTGGCGCGCAATCGTTGGCATGTTTTCTTTGGTATCTGGGGTCTATGCTGGTGTATTTGTTTGGGGCCTCGACGGAAAAACACGGGAAACCCACAACTTTCCGATTCGACACGCCCAAAGAAATACTGTAGACTGTAGACTTCGCAAACAAGGTGCAAAGTATGAAAGACACTGACCTTTTCCAAAGGCCCACTGAGGATGGCGCAGCTAAGATGCTGGTGCAAATGCTCTTGACTTGATCAAGCGTCAAGCCATCCACCTGCACCCATGTTGAATTTCACACGAACCGAGCAGAGTCAAGCCCTGCCAGCCCTGCCTTGTTCAACTGGCCCAGCCTTCAAGGCTCCAAGGCGTCACTCCCTCAAAAACGCTGTGGGCGCCCGGCCACTCGCGCGCGACTTTGGCGTTGAGGTGCAGGTCCTCAGCTGTCAAGCGATGCCGTCCAGCAACGAGCTGCGACGCAGAGGGCCGGCCCGATCGGGGCCCCGGCCAGGCTGCGGCACATGTCAAAGAAGGAGTGGATCTCCAGCTGGCGGGTTCGAGACATTGGACAAAGAGGGGGGTTGCACAGTGTTTTTGGGGGCATGTAGTTTTATCATAGCATGTTTCCATGCCACGGCCAATGCGCCGTTTGGCTCAAGCTTTTCAATCCGGCGATCAGCCCTTGCAATTTCGTCACCGCACGCCGCGTCACATCACGCTCGTCAGCAACAAGGAGTGTTGCTGCCGAGTGCCCGTGGTGGCGTTTCCGGTGGAGGTTGGTTGGGGGTTCTGGTTGGGGTTGGTGCGCATTTGGTTTGCTTTGCTTGCTTCGCTGCATTGTTTGCCTGCCTGGTTTGCTGCTTTGTGCTTGCTTTCGGTTGTCTCTGCCCTTGCTGGGTTCATTCATCTTTTGGTTAAAGGCACCCTGTTTGGTTCGTTTGTTGTGCCAGCCGGGGGCACCGCTTTGCCCTTGGGACTGGGGGACTTAAACAATCTCTTCTTGTTGGTGGGATTGGGCCTGTTTATTCTCTCCCGAAATACTGTTTCAAACCCTTTCGCAGGTTATCAGCCGTAGGATTCGTCCTCGGTTGGCACCGCGAACCCCATTTAATAACAACCCTGCAGGCGCCGTTTTCCATAGGCTACTGTAGGACTCATGGCGGGAATCACCGAGGATGGACCTCATGTGGTGACCGATGAGTGGGTTCTCGGCCAGGCCGGAATCTTGGACGTTGTGAATGACGGCCAGGTGCCCGGACAGCCGATGTTTTCCGGTCCTGACTTTTTGTCGGACCACACTTTTTCAGAAGCAATGCCTTCAGGGAGATCCAGTGCTACTCGCACTGATGATCTATCGTCTAATGCCTCAAGAGCTAATCGCTCTCAGGGTCATGGGGCTAATCGTCCTGACCATGATGATTCCGTCTCAGGACGTGATGATGACGAGCCCGGTATTGCACCTGGAGCTCAATCCTCATCTTTCCCGGAGCTGATGAATATTGGTCAGTCCGAGTTTCGTGATTCTCGAGGTAGCAGTAGACCTGTGCCAACCAGCAGTATAGTTTTTCAAGCGCTCGGTAATCCCGAACCTGGTACATCCAGTGGAGTTGCATTTGATGTTCATCTGCCGACCGAATCCGGTGGGCTCGATTGGAGAGCCTCATGGCCCAACGACGGAAATATTTTTGGTATGGATTTTGCCGCATGGATGCCAGGGCCACCCGCCCCGTCATCTTTCCCGCAATTCCAAAGCCCAAAACGGGCTGCTGGAAGCGATGAATTCATGCTACCTTTGTCGATTGAGAATCTCAATCCTGACGTGGCCAGCCGTAACGTCAGGCCAAGGCCGTCGGTAAACCCGACCATGAGGAACATGTCCCCTCCCCCAGGACTTTCAGGATTTGAGAGCCCTAGGGAGCGTAATATCGTAGATAGATTGGATTTGCATCCCAGTCCAACCCCGAGCAAACGATCTAGGTCAAATTCGACTGGATCGCATAGGGCAAGGGGGATGGATCGGGAAACCGCCCACAGGGGTAACCCCAGTGCGCGGGACTCAGGACGCGGTCGATCAGGTGATCCAGCGTCAATCATTGGTAGAGACCCGCTAAACGCGGACACACACGTTAACGTGCTTGATGGAATCGAAGCATTCCAGGAGGAATTTAATAGGTCAAGTGGCATGAACGCACAAGGTGTTCGCCCTACGCCCAACGCGGCTTCCATTTTCGCTCTGGACGGCATGGACGGAGCTAATGTTCCGATAGAATCTGAATCCATGATGGCATCAAGTTCTAGTCGCAACCATACTATCAGTAATGCGACTGATATTGAATCGATGTCTGAGTCTAGAGTGTCCAATGCGACCGACTTGAATGACATTGTTATTGCTGACTCGAGGCCTGATGTTCCTATGCGAATGGATAGGCCTGTTGTTCCTAAACTGCCCGTGGCCAAGGGCCTGGGCATGACACAACCCTCTGCGGTTCGTGATGCTAGGAGATCTGCTCCGTATCAGAGTCAATCTCCTAATCGGAGTGAGTTTCCACGGCCATCAACGGCCGTGCAGGATGATTTCAGAACTCCTCCGAGATCTAATCCAATCATGGTTGATTTGTCCACTCCTCGTGATCGCGGATCAGGATTTGGTCCTACGAATGAGGAGCAACCCAACGAGGTTGCTGATCTTGTAACAGCCCTTGAAAGAGGGAGAGTGGACTCTTCGGTAAGTGCGATTATTCATCGCCTGGCTGCTAAGGTCGAAGACCTTGGTCGTAGGAATGATAGAAGTGATCAATGCATCAAGCAGCTCTCCACTGAGGTTAACTCGTGGAGGGCCAAATACGACCAATGCGTCCATGTGAATAGCACGTGTACGCAGGCTGCGAACGCGGCCATGCAGCTGTCACAAGGGACTAAGGACATCGTAACCGAGCTTGGCCAACGCGTCAAGATCGTTTCCAATCGCATAATAAGCATAGGCGATGCCCTAAATGAGCGAGCCAGCTATGATGATGTTGCTCGCTCCATCACCCAAGTTCAAACTGTTTTTGAATCTCTTTCTGATCGAGTAACCGGGCTTATAGCTCGTGTTGATATGATCGAGAGATCTCTAGTGGAGAGCCAATCCAACCATCCTGCTATTGGTGGAGTGAACCTCAAAATCGAGGACCTGTCCACTAGGGTATGTCAGATTGATAGGATGATGCAAGATGTCGAACAACGCTGGACCAACAATAGGGACGGCATAAAGTGGGTTAAAGACCAACTTTATGAGACACAAGCCAACCTTGAGATGAAGTCAAGGGACTGCAAATCCTACACGGACAAGCAAAATACTCATAACATGGCCGTTTCGACTACGCTCAACAGTAAGCTCGAGCAAATGCTCGAGGTGCTGGGTAATACGGCCCAGAGAATTAACTCCCTCGAGTCAAGGCACTCGAACCAGGCCTCAAGTAGTGGGTTGAACGATCACACAGGAGGAAGGCGAGCCGCGTCCCGTACTCCGGATAAGCGGCCACCTCCACCTGGCCCTCCTGATGATGATCCTCCACCTCCTCCTCCAGATTGGCAAAACCCAGGAGGAGGGGGGAAGAAGAGTGCTGCCGGTGGGAACCCTGGCAACCCTGGTAAACCCAGATGTAAATATGTAGGTGATGGATATAATCATCTCATGGCTGAGTTTCACTGCAAGGGATGCAGAGGTGATATTTGTGAGTATTGTTTCTCATTTAAAGAGAACCTGTGTGAAGAATGTTCCCGTAACGGACCCCGATGCGGAGTCTGTAGGGAAAGCTCGTTCCTGACCAAGGGAATTGAGTGTCAATTTTGTAAGACCTACTACTGCACCAGACATTCTGCTGGGCAGGATGACTACAGGAGATTTGGATTTGTCCAGGGTCCCTGTTGTCTTGCGTGCCTAAGGGACGAAACTAGGAGAAGAAGGGATCCCGATGGTAACCGTGTCAGGAATAGGTCGCCTGGGGGCGTACCTGAGGCGAACCCGACGCGGTCGTTCTCGCCGCCTCTGCGGCCACCCGTTGACAGATTCCGTGACACCCCAACTGGGGGTCAACCCAACGCGGCTGACCTTCAGAGTCCTCCGAAGGCTACGCAACCCGTGCCCCTGGATAAACGTGAAACCGGATATTATCCAGGATTTGATCCCAACGGTACAAGGCCAAAGGATCCTTCAGGCCTTGAGCCGCCGACCATGCGTGGCCCCGATCCTCCTGACAAGAAATGTCGGATGTGTGATCGGGATATTCCTGACCCCAGCAAAATAGAAGAATGTAAGATATGCATGAAAAGGGCATGTGAGATTTGCATTCCGAAGGCTACTCGCCTTTGTCCTGTATGTGCATTATCAATCGGTAGTTCTCAGGTTCCACAGCATCTTTTCGGAACTGGTGGCGGCGGGTACAGTAGCCACCATGATCCGAACTGTACAGCTGCGACTAAATGCATTTCCATAGACCTCCCGCCAGAGCCCGACGCGGCTGGGCTGAGGGTAGCCAATATGAAGGAAGCTGTTAGCAATGCCTACAGCTATGATGGACTTTACGTCATCAATTGGCTAACTGAAGTCGAGAAGGCAAAGACCTTTGATGAACTGGATGGGGAATGTAAGTACCACATCCTCGAAGCCAGGTTCAATGCAGCCATTCGGAAGTGCATCAAGACTGTTGCGATCATCGTTAAGATTAATCGTCTCACCGAAGCCGCTCAACGCTCCAACAATCGCATCAAGAGTAGGCAGATCCTGTGGCTCTTATACGACCACTTAAGGACTGCGAATATCGGAGAGCAATCGTTCAGGATAATTGAGCTCTCAAACTTGCGATGCAGTGTTTCATCTTTCTATACTGAAGAGGAGCGACTTGAAAGGTTCATCGCGAAGTGGGATCACATCCTTGCGGGTCTCGATGAACCGCTGACCGAGCAGGTAAAGCAGTCGCTATTCAGTGAGAAGGTTAGACACCTCAACTGTTTGGCTCATGATATCAGGGAATGGGATAGGAACATATCCAACCCTGATGTTTGTAGCTATGAATGGCTTCGTGCTCGTTGCAAGAACGAAATTGACCGTTGGAGGGTTCGTAAGAATCAGGTCAATATGCACAAAGACTTTTACGAACGATCTCAGTCCAGGGAGAGAGCCCAGAAACCTGGCGCTCCTGGTCCTCCCGTTAGGAGACGATCTCCGTTTGGAGACTCCCATAGGCCTAATCGGCCTCCTAGTGATCCAAGGAAGAGGACCGGTAATACCCCTAGTCCTAATCGAAGGGACAGGTACTCTCCCAGGAATCGGGAGCAGGACAAGCGGCATACGCCTAGCCCTAGGGGCGAGCCCCCGAGGAGGCCCAGATCTACGTCGCCCGGCGCTCCTGCGATTGATGCGTGTAGGGACTTCGCGCGTGGATACTGTTCGCGCGGGCAAGAGTGCAAATTCGCACACACAAGAACTGGGAGTTCCGATGCTAAACGCAAGGAGCGTCCTCCCCTGATTCCAGGGTATTGCGCCCAATGGGTTGCCTATGGAAA